TTACCTGGGAAAAAAATAATGCCATTATTAATGAGTTGAAATTAATGCATGCAAAATTTCACAGCTCCAGGATCACTCCTTCATAGCTTATGAAATTTTTTAGCCCACCCTTGAATGTTATATTGTTGATTTTTCACTTTGGTTTTTTTTTTTAGAAAAATCAACATTACACTTGGTGTAAAAGTTGGGGTGTGATGTGATAAATACTAGCACTAAAAATTAGAATCAGTAATTTACCAATTTTTGAACATTTAGGTTTGAAGATTGTCTGAAAAAAAAAAAAAAAAAAAAAAAAATGTACAGAAATACTTAATTTCCGCAGGTTTTTGCTTACAAACAAACTTTAAAATTTCACTATTTCAAGAATAAATCCAAATAAAGTTGATATTTTTTTGTATTAGACACATTGATGGAAAATATATTCAAATCAAAATTCTAGTTATGAATCACAACAAGCAAAATATGCAATTTTTTACTGCATTCAATAAGTGAAGGCTAAAAATTGTAAGTGATTACAAAAAAGGCTAATCAATGAAAAAGATCTTATATTATTTGTTAGGCTATAATTAATAAAAATAAAAGTGTATATAACACCATAATACTGCTGGGCACAAATTATAAGACAAAATATTTTAAATTTAAATTGTTTATTGAAAATCACACTAAAACTATTGCACTGTATAATATATTACATTATAATATGGCTAAATTATTCAGCATAATTTCCCTTTGAAGTAAATGAAGGTCTTATTTGATGGCACAATGATTTAGTAATAATGTGCCTGTTGTGCCTTGCTTGTCCATATACAATTTGTGAAGCTTCAGTAGTTAATTTAACTGCTCTTTCCACACTTTGCAACTGTGCAGGTAAATTTGGCAACTCCAGTGTTATTACATTCATTGGAACCTCTTGCTGTTCATTATTTGAAAAACCTTCTACAAATGAAAGTTCACAAACTCCATTTTATAAGAGGTTAATCAAATTTGACCAATGTGTCACTTCAAAGTTGAATGTAATTTTTTTTAAATCTCTTTGGTAGCTCACTATTTCTGATACTGAAAAAATATTTTTGTGCTGTAGTTTTTGAATGCAACATTCTCTATTTCAGTTGATTTCATTTATTCTCTGGTTCATATTGAAGATATACAGTTGTTGATTATGGAATTTATTATTCCTTTTAATTTCAAACCAACTACATATATTTCAATTATAAATTTTATAAGGCTGTATAATTTATCATAGAGTTCTGTTGGATAGGCAACTCTGGTTCATAAACACATTAAACTGATGACTAAAGTTAGCCATTTTGCTTGATTTAGAGACCCAATTTTCCAGACAGCAAATCTAGGATTCATTTTCCTCTCAAGAAATTCCTGCTACACATTCTAAGAGCAGTTTTTGGTCACCACTTGAATCTTTCATTGCCTCTGCAGTTAAGATAGAAGTTATCAAGAGGTCTATTGATAGTGTTAAATTTTACCTGGGGCAAATCCTGGTAATTATTTCTGCCAAGTTTCCCTAGAGGACCAGTAGTAGGTCTTTTTGTAGTTGCATCAATGTACAGCTCTAAATGGAAGTTCATTCTGATGAAGTGAATAGTCAATGGTGTGCAAATTTCTTTTCTTTTTTTCTCCAGAGCTGTAACAAGCCCTACCTCACAGCCAGTGTTTGTACTAGTATTGTCCACAAGAACTGCCTTAATGAAATTTAGGCTGTTGAATTTTCTAAAACTGCAGTAGCATTCTTTGTGAGAACAAAACTAGTTGCACCAATGTTAGGGATAATTCTGTGGGTGAGATATCTACTTTCTGTGTCCATCTCTGGTGAAATTTTCAATTTTTTTTTGTCATTTTCTTTTGTAATCTCTTTGTATTGCAAAGTGTCTTTGCCAATTCTGCAATTAACATCAATGCTGATGATATTTTCATGGTTCTGATCAGGCTTTTGATGGGTGGTTTTACTTTAGCCTTTTCCTTGTCTATTTTTGACATATCAGTGATAATTTCCTTTAAGTTAAGGATTGTATGACGATAACCCATATCTTGTAGTTCTAATAAAAGGGCATAAATGGTGAGAACTTAGATAATACCTATCAAAAGAAAGTTCCAGTACAAGATTCATAAATGAAATATTTATTTTACTACTATTGATTTCAAAATGAAAAAATTTATTTGTTTTGTAATTTTTTTTTTTTTGAGAATTTTTTTTTTTACTGAAAAATAACAAAACTTAAATTCCATATGAAAGGAAAAAAAGGAATCAAGTTTCATCACTGGCCACAAACTAAATACTCTATTTAACCTCCATTTTGCCTTTAAAGTGAATATTTTTATATTATTCATAATTCTGATTTATTTTTCTTTGATTTAGTGAGAATGAATAAATGTTGCAATTGGAAAACATTTTATTAAGTGACATTTACATATTTGTTTTCCATAAGAGTACATACATTTTTGACAGTGTTCACTGATCACCGGAATTAAATTCCAACACTCTAATTTTGAACCTAAAATTAATCTTTAAACTCATTTCCTCAAAAAAACAGTAATGATTTTGAAAAAAATATTTTGTGTCATTATTTATCAGGTAAAGCCCCAACATTCAAACTGAGTGCAATACAATGGTCCCAAAACTGACCTGCCCTAATGTTGCATTGCCAACCTAACAGAAATTGAGCTTCAACAAGTTTCTTAATCTTTTATGTGATCAATTCACTAAATTGTTTTATATTGTTGATTTTGCCATCAATCACAAAGTGTTTTTTTGTTTTTTTTAAATTAACCTTGATTTCAAAATTCCTTATTCCCCTGTGGTATAAAATAATTATCAATTTTATACCACTGGGCAATAAGGAATTATTATTACTATTATAATAGGTTACTATCATGTAAATCTCAAAGAATTAGGTGTATTATTCAGTTTTTTGCTCAAGCTTCCAAGTTATCACCTAAGGTATTACTGAATATTTTTCTTAATACAAGAGCTGTCTCATTAAATTATTTTATCATGAATGATATTATTAGCATCCATCTCTTAACAGTCATTTTAAAACATTTTTCTCTCTATATAATGACTTATTTTTACTGTAAAATAAAGTCTCAAAAATAATATATAGATCTAATGGTTTATAAATTCTAAACTTAATCAAACTATGTTGGAGTGCAATTTATATGCCTGGTCTCTGTCATGAGAGAGATAATGATTAGTTAAATGAACATCATGTCTATATCATCATAATAACCAAGATGAAAACAATACAATGAAAACATTGAGTAAATTAAAGTATACTGACAATTTCTCATTTTGAAAATCACCATGATAACCAAAATGTTGAAACCATATGACATTGCATTTTTTGGCCGAGCCTGATGGCTCGGAAAGCCCACGTTAAAAAGGGCCTTGTGCCACATGACACCCTCGTGAGGGGGGGGACTGAATATCGTCAGGGCAAAGATCAGAAACAAGGCTAGAATGTGAATTTGTAAAACATTGTGATTCTCAAATAAAATTCTGGTAACAATAATCAACAAAAAAATGGCAAGAGGTTATTTGGCTGAAATGTTGTGTCTATAATAACATCTATAATAAGCAAGAGTATAGAAGAATAAAAGATTGAATAAAGTGGAGAAATATTGAAATGAAGTTTAAATTTATGATCAAAACAACAAAAAGTTAAAGATATATTTATCATTATATCTCTTTTTATATTTTGTATTTTTTTATAATCCTTAACTATATTTTTTGCATATTAATTTATTTTGTATTTATGGTAATAATGTGTATAATTTTGAGATACATAAATATTACCAGTTTTGTTCAGACAATTAAACTCCTTTTTTGCAGGTACCACATTTCAGTCAATCTATTCTAAAGCCTACAGTGTACAAACAATAAGGAAATGATAAGGGTCTATTTTTTGCAGAATAAGATGGTGACAAAATGGTTACTATCATTCTAACCAGATCTATGTTACTGCAATGAACCCAATCTGGTTGGTATATTAATAAACATTTTCTGTCATTTTATCCTGGAAAAAAAAAAGGATGTAGAATAAATCAACTGAAATGTTGTAGCAATAATATTAATACAAAAAAGAAAACAAACCCAGGAAAGTTATAGTAAGATTGCCAAAAGCAAAAAAAAAAAAAAATCACGTGTAACTATCCATAAACAACCACAAAACTATAAATAAAATAACTTATTTTAAAGAAAAAGCTATAGTACTACTACAAATTCAAATTAAAATAATAAAATTATATTATTTCTCTGCATATTAATTATATACAAATGAACTATTACAATATTGTATTCAAATGTATTTTTATGGCAAACTGGATCAGTGTGAATAACACCAAAAATGTTTTTTTTCTTTTTGCACGTTATAATAAATAGTAATTTTTTTCTAAACAATTTGTAGATGAATGTTATTTTTTTAAACCTCATCATAGATTATATTTCAAATATCTACATTTCAATCAGAAAAAATACTGCTATGTGTATGCATATTCATGAGTGTAAATATTCTCAGATTGAGTGTATCTGTAGAAGAGGCAAAATGAATAAAAAGAGACAAGAGGAAAAACTATACTTAGCTGATGCACTTTGTCTTCTGAGGGACTTTATCAAAGCAATGATAGAAGGATGAAACGTGTCGGCTAAGAAGACTTTTTCTATGTATGCCATGCTCCCCCTAGACGTACAATCCTAATACATTGGCCCCATCCTTCAGCTTCTTGGATATGGGATATTCAGCCATCATGTCACATAGCACTGTTGGGGCTTGACCTCCAGTCCACTTTCATGTTGCAGCCCAAACCTTCACCACATGGTCAAATTCAACACTGAAGTCCTGTTTGTCAGTGATTATTGCCACACATAGGGGTGGTTCACTGCAAGAGAACTCTACTGCACCTGATGGAGTGATTTGTACCCCACCCATCTCTTTTATAGTGTTTATAGTGTTCATCCCAGTCAGCAAGTCATATCCCAGTGGCCTCTCATGAGTCACCAGGACGTCAATTTTGATGGGATTACCACCATTCAGGCTCACATTGACGACTCTGACCCTGTAGGTGTTAGTCTCTTCATTGATGGTCGTCAAATGCGCAAACCTTCTCACCCATGTTCGGCACACATCTTTGCTAGTTAATGATTGAGAACAACCAGAGTCAACAAGAGGCTGTGTGTGACCTCCCATCAATTTGGACTGCAATTACCAGTAGTGCTAAGTTTTTATCTGCTCCAAGGAAGAGACTAACACTATTGTTTATTCCTGTGTTTCCTTTCCCAGACAGGTACATGCCAGGTGACCTAGAGCGTGGCACCAAAAACAACACATTTCTTGATGCAGCCCCCAGCTCACACAGCCTACTTCCACCCTTGGATGTGGTCGCCATTTGATGGCTGAGGCAGTCTCATGCCAGATGGTTTGGTCTGGTACAGGCATAGCATCTAACATCAGTGTCCCTGGTGATGCCTCTGCCACTACTATTGTCGGTTCCCACATGTCATTCTTTAGGATACCCCGGGAACACACCAGCATCTGGTCAATAGCATCTCCATTCTTGACAATGCACAAAGGAGTTGTTTGATTTGGGCTGGTAGTCCAGACACAAATGTGCACCTGAGTGCATGGTTGCTCACTGTACCAAACAATACTGTGAGCTTCCATAGTTCTGCCAGATAAACGTCGACAAATTCATCAGGTTGTATCCGGCAGGCACACTATAAATTGCTCATATGTTCCAAACTTGTCCGTCACAAAGGAAAGGCAATCCTTATTTTGTCTGCATCTACCTTCTCCTCATCTTTCAATTGCTGGTAGATGGCAAACGTGCTCCCCCATCAGTCTAAAGGGAATGGCATGTTCCAGCCACTTTATGTCATACAATCTGCAAACAATTTCCGCCTTTTCCATCCATCCGACCACCAATCTAGCACCATCAAACAGGGGAATCAGCTTCAGATTGAAACTGGCATCCATGTTAAGGACTGAAATAGCTTGTGCTTAGTATTGAGTATTTTGTGTATGTCACCTGTACCACTTTCTCTTTCTACTACACACCACATGCATTGTCTACAGAATTACTACTGTCCCCTAGCAAGCAATGTAGCTGCTTATATAGTAAGCAGCAGGTGTTGATACATTTGTATAGGTGAGAGGTCCATTTCATCAAATCATGGTCGATGTGCACACATGTCTCTGAGCCTCGAACTGGATTTCCTTTTACAGCTGCAGTAACTTGAACACGCTTCGTACTAGGTAAGCCATGCTCTGTGTTACTATAAATATATTGTAATTAATTTGTGCCTCACAATCAAAGCTTTGCATCAAACTAAGTCGAACTTATCAATTTTGATGCACAATACTGCATCTTATGAGAATATTTTTCTATAAAGAGCTTGTATGATCTTATACAAAGATACGTAAAAATACCTTTTTATGTAAACTCATTGTCATAAATTATTAGATCTGAATTCCTTAAAATTCTATCTTAATTTACACTGGCAATCATAATTTTTTAGAATCAAAAGGAGTTAGATCTAGATAAAATATGAGGTTTGTTTTAAAGTAATAGGACTGCATGTGCTGTGTGAGCTATGAGCAAAAGAGAAATAAACAGGTTGTGTTATCATCTAGCATGATATCTTGGGAGTATATAACTGCAACTTAGCATTTTCTTCTCTCAGTGTGTGAGAACAACGTCACTGTACTGGAACAATGACCTGAGCATTCAAAAGTTCATGGCTGAGAACATTGCCATACTGGAACAACTTCCCTATTCACCTGATCTTGCTCTGTGTGACTTTTTCTTTTCCCCAAGCTCAGGGGTATTATCAAGAGGACTCATTTTGAAGGCATGGAGGACATTAAGAGTGCCATAATGATGGAGCTGATGGGCATCCAAGAAGAATCCTTCCAGCAATGCATAAAACATGACAGAGAAGTATGAAAAAGTGCATTAGAATTGAGAGAGATTACTTTGAAGGGGAAACCATGTAGTTTGTTGACACCAGTCTGGATATTTTTCAGACAGACCTTGTAAATCATGAATATTTTATTAAATTCATATCTGAATATAAAAGTCTGTCAAGCAGAGTTGCAGAGTGAATTTCAAACTGAAAAAACATCAAATTTAAAAAAAAACGGGGAATAATAAATAAAATAAAAGCTATCTACATGTATACATAAGACTGCTCTGAGTTATACCCAGAGCTTCAAATGGTTAAACAAAGTTCACAATATCAAAAAATATAATCCTTAATTATTTGTACTACAAATAAATATTTCATAAATATACAATGCCCCTTTTTCAAAAACCTTAGAATTCTCATGTTAATTTTGCTTAATAATCAAAATACATACACAAAATATCCTTACTTAAATTCTTGAATATATTCTTAAATTCTTGTAGATATGTATATTAGATTTTTTGAATTCTTTATCAAAATCATAATAAATGTGATATCTCTGTCTGGTCTTGGTGAAACAAATACATTGTTTTTTTTTTAATGTTATGCCTATTCAGGCTGTAAGTAACCATAGCTCTTCAAATTCTTTTTCTTTATTATTTGTGAATTGCTATGACTTCTTGGTAAAGATTGTGGAATGGTTTTCCATTGCCTTCTCTATGGTTTTGAATTTAGAGTTTTCTTTCTCTTAGACTAGTTGCCATGCAAGGCTTCTCAAACTGAAGACATTACCATAAATACAGTTTCTATTTTCAGTGAAGCTGTATATTTTAAAGTAATGTATATTTATAATCCTCCATTAAAAAAAAAAAATTTCAACATCTGTGCAAATATACTTTTTATGTCACACCATTCAAACACTGATATATAAGAAGGGCGATAAAAAAATACTACCAACATAAGATTTCAAATAAGTGATTGGAAGTGATTTAAAAACATGATTAGTATAAATTGTCAATAATTAATACAACAGTATAAGTCATCTTTGTCAGCTATTTTTTTTAATTAGGTAAATTAGCATCTACCTGGTATTAAGAACTCTTTTAGGGCTTTTATATTAAAGTTGACAGGTTTAATTCTAGAGACAAGTGTTCTGGATACTGAACCTGATATTGGACTCTCAGTGGGATTTTAGTTCATTTTACACAAGAAATGGGATTTTCTTCAATATAGGTATAAGCAAAGTTAGATATCTATTTTGAAATGAATGCATTTGCTTTTTGAGTGAAAATAGGATTCTCTTTCATGGTTGGTAGCTTCTTTGACAAAAATGTAAAGACAGTGTTTGTTACTGAGAAACAAACTCAGTTATTTAGAGCAACTATTAAGGGTAGTAGGTAATTTTGACCTCTCTCTCTCTCTTCATATTTGGTGTGTACCGATTTCTTTTTGAAGGTTTCTATAATAATAAGCAGAATCTGAAGAAAAAATGATTTGGGGTATTTTTGATGAATTGCTACCCTTAAAACTGAACATGCTTATTTTGGACCATTAATTCTGCTGAAAGTCTGAATATTTGATAGTCTGAGACATCTCATGTGTCAATCAACAAGAATCATGTTTTTCTTTTGTGCATTATGATGAATAGCACAACTATATAAGACTAAAGATTGTGGTTTTCATCAATTCAGTCCTGAAAAAAACTGCCGAAAAAGGGTCCAAAATGAGCATTTTAAGGGTCAAAATAACAAAATTATAGTTACTTTGATAACCATTTGGGAAAATGATAACCTAAAATCCTCTTAGATCCCCAGAAATTTGATAACTTCATCCAACAACTGAACCATGATAGTCATTATGCTCAAGAATTTGGGATACAATCCCATTTCAGTCCAATATGCTATCAAAAATAAAGTAGAATGAGTACTGAAAACTTACAGACCATGAACATCCCTGGCCAATTTCATTTGTGCATGACATTAGCCATAACGTATCATCTCACCAAAACACCAAACATTCAAATACTACTTCCAACCACAATATCGTTCTCATTCTTCTTAGTAGAATAATTGATTTGGAATGAAGGAAGAAACTGTTCTGTAACCTTGTTAGATGTCAATGTAACATATTCAGACATGGGTTCATTGCCTGAAAGAAGTGCACATAAATTCAGCAACTATTCATCATGACTAATATTGTTGATCCTGAACAAATCCGGGTGTTGAAGGATATCGGATTTGTGAGTATTGTGGTAAGAGGACAACTTGATATGAACAGTCTTTTCAACATTATCATGATTTACCTTCAGAATATCATGAAGCTTTTCAACACTGGTTGCTGGCCCATTCCAACTTTTGCAAAGTTGAAAACATTTTTGAGTGTACCTTAATTGTTTCTTTTCTTTCTCAATTTTCTCTATGATTTTCAATTTGTGGAGTTCTTTCTGATCAGCTACTCACTTATTTTCCATGTTGTTCAAAAGATTAATAAATGAAGCTTTTTTGGTTGGTTCATTGTGGAATGTCTGTGATTGATACAGAGTTACCTCATTCTGGATTCCTTTTTCTGTGAATTTCTTGTTACAAAACTTGGCTACTGGTGCTCTTTTCCCAAACACAGAGTGGTGATGTTCTGAATCAAGGTTATTTGTTGGCAAATCAACTCACTCCTCTTTTGTCAGGAGATGTAATTGAGTTGCACAAGCAAGTTTATATTGTGGTCACCAAAGCCATATTCCCTTACTGCACTTCAGCAGCATCAACAGGCATCATTTTTAAAGTTTGATGCACTATTTTTGTGGTTGGTTCATAAACCTTGACATGAGGATAATTAATAACATGAGAAAATCTAATGTTAAATTCAATTAATTTCAATTGCAAATTTGACAGACATCATGGTCTGAAAAATTCATTCATGTGTCCCTGGAAGAGTTGAAACATGTCATCTAGGTTCTGAGTATTAAAAATTTGAGCATGAAACCAAATCAACAGTCACCATATCAACTCGCAATAATACATACTTTCACAAATGACAACAAAACCAACCTGATTGCTGATTGTATTCCCATTCAACATCATCTTCCAAGTGGTTTTGTGCCTTCCTTACACACACACAATGTGACCTAACTATTTTAGTTCCTGTTTAAGGAACTAGCACTTGGCATCATTTAATTTCACATTATATTCAATAAAACAAGTAAACACTGCCTTTA